CACTTTGCATTTAATTCACTAAAAATTTCGCATAAATTCATTCATCATCATCAGTCATCAATATGTATTTTTATTTCATAATTTTTAAATTTCTTGTAAATTTTCATTCTGAATTTTTAATAAATCACTAATTAATCATTTTAAAACTTTATTCACTTTATGATTATCCGCTTTTGTTATTATTGCGAAACGTACTTTGACGAAATTCGCGCCGAACTGAAATCTTTATCCTGCCGCTGCTTGCTTTTATAAGTGCGCTTTGCCCCGGTCATCGTTTCAAAGTCGGCTTTGTCTGTTTGCTTAGATTTGTGTATCCTTTCGGGATGTCGGTGCTGTGATATTGCGTGCTATGTGGTGAGTAATTTTTTTTTTTTTTAATTTTTGTTCACCACATATACGAAGTGGTTGTAATTTTCTCTTCAATTTCGAACTAGGATTTTGTTTTGCTCCACTCGTTCTTGTTTCAAATTTTTCTTTTGTTGTTTACTTTCATTTATCTGGGCTTCATTTGGGATGCGATAATTATGTGCAAGTGTACGAGTATTAGCTGCTGTGGTGAGCTTTTCTATTTTCCTTATCACTGCTGGCTGATAGGTTGTGAGCAGCAGCAACAGCATCCTGCGATGTGTTTATGTGGATGTGTTTATATGATTGTGTGCGTACGCGCTAATGCTCAATAAATATGTATGTATGTATGCAGCTTCGGAACACGTGTCCGGCAAGCGGCATAGAGTTTTACCGGCATTAAATGCAAGAATACGCCGCGCGTAAAAGAAGCTTAATTTTTTTAGGTTTTGAGAAATGTTTATGTACCGCGGAAGAATCTATATACTATATATGTAAACCAGTACTGTTTTAACAAAAAATTATCGAATTTGTTCAAACTTGAAATTGTTGTATTTAGTAAAAACAAAAATTGTGACCACCATTTTTTGTGTGTCGAATTTAAACGTTTATAGTTCACAACGATAAAACATAAAAATTTCACAATTCTTCGAAATTGGAATTATTTTGGAAGTTATATGTATGTATGTATGTAGCTATTCACTTTTTCGAAATTCTTTGGAATTTATTTATTTTCTAGCAATTGGTGATTCCGATTCTGCTGTTTCTGTTTAAACAGTTTCTGGTGATACTGTTAGATTTTTTCGTCTGATCCGCTGATAACTGATGGCTGAATACTTGGAGATGATGATGTACTTACTCGCGCTTTTCTAATCGTTCTTAAGGTTTTGTTACCCTAGTCCACCACCAGCTGCTTAGATTGCATCCTATAAACATTCGCACCTATTTTGGAGACCAAAAAGTCGCAGACTTCTGAGTTGTAACCCTTTTTATTAGCTCAAAAAAGCGTGAGAACAGAGCACATTTCCCTTCTTAGAAGGGTACGCTAATACGAATTCAATTTAGGAGTCATATTAGAGTCTTAAATATGACGCTTTTCTGAGTCCTAAAAACAAATATTCTTTACAATTCTGATTATTAATAAAATTTTACTGCTTTGTGAAGCTTGTTCCAGGCCATTTTGAACACTCCCTATGAGAGCGTTGAAATTTTTTCCGGAACAACAATAACACAGTAACGGTAATACAGTAATGGCAGTAACAATAACAGCCAATTTCACGAAAGCAATTTAAGAAACCGGCTGGAAATTAGAAGGCTTGTTTGATTTTAAAAGCGTTCTGCGCTAGTTTAATGCTCGCGAAAAAACTCGTTAGCAAAGAGCTGAAGTAGCAACAATGCATAAGCCTTTTAAAACGTATCTGTAAAGATGGGGATACACTGAGGGAAAAAAATATTAAAATCAAATAGAAACGTAATGGATCATACTATAAACGTCAACGAAAGTACTGTATATTGGTAAATATTCAATTCAATTACGCGCATATTAAAATGACCGCGTTCGTACTGAAAAAGCATCCGTGAAGTGAATAATCAAGACAAAAACTAAAAAAAAATTTAATTTGCATGTTGCCTGCAGCGGAATTCGAACCCGACCATCTCCGGACATCAACAACTTGTGGCAAGCATCTTTGAGCACTCAGCTACACCCAGGCATATAAATTTGCTTTCAAATGTTGAATATCCATCAACACCACAGCACGCGATGTGTATAAACATGTATGTACAGAGCGGCGCTCTGCATGCTTGGGGTGCGTATGTACACTCATATATATCTGAACAGTCAAATACGTGCGTTATAAATTTTGTATGAAAATATTATTTTTAAATTCGAACATTTTTAAACGATAATCAAATATAAAGTATTAATTTTTACTATGCATTATTTCCCTCAGTGTACACGACATAGGTTCGTGCAAAAAATATTTGGATCGCGATCCAAAATGAGAAATAGTGGCACTGACAAAATTAGTTCAATGAAGAGACCGAACTAGCCAACTAGTTCATGGAGATGAACTGGTTCTTTAGTTCTTTAGTTCAAGAACTTCCCAACCTAATATGTACATATTTATGTGGGTATGTACTACTTAAAATTAATTTGAAATCCTCATGAAATTTCATTAGTGGTAGATGACAGGACCCGCAGGAGCCGTGGTATATATGTGAAAAACGTCGGATTGGCCGGAATCGCGATTGATTATTTAGTCCGGCACCCATCTCGAATACATGCTTAGGGCCGTTTTCTCAAGTAACCTGTAACTTTAAAGCTCACTTTACATTTAAAGGTTTCATTAAAATTCATGATTGTGTCTAAAGTAAAGAGTTTTATTATCGGTTTTAAATTGACATAGCTTTATTTTTAATCCAATCTTTAAATATAAAGTGAGCTTTAAAGTTAAAGGTTACTTCAGAATACGGCCCTTAGTATGTGTAAAGCAGGAATGTTACTCATACGCCCCAGCACCCAAAAAAATTCATTGTAAAACATTCTTCTTCTATAAATTTCCGAGCTTCAGGGAGGGGTTTGTTGAACAAATTCATCACCTTTTAATGTTGCTCTTCCTTATGGCGTTTCTTTTCAAAAAAAATTTCGCCTTTTTATTGCCCTCTTTTTAGTCTTTGTGCGCAGAGGGCAATGAGAAGGCAAAATTTTTCGGTAGAAAAGAAAACGCCATTAGTGAATTTTTGATTGCTAAAAAATTATTATCAGTACGAATACTATGAAGGCGCGTGCTCGTGAAAAAATATTCAATTTGTCGACATACATAAATACATACATATCTACATTAGGGCGGGCCTATTTGTATGGGAGATTTTTCCCACTATGCGCGTATAGCACACAATTCTAAGCAAATTTGCCAAATAAACAATAGGTCTAAAATCAATTTGGAGTTTGCCAAATTGCGAAAATAGGTTTCTTAGCATTTTGCTGTAGTGTCGTAAAGAAGTGCTGAAATTTTATATAAAAACATGCTATACGGATTTTTTGGTATGAAGAATCCGTTTCTGCACTTATTACTTCAACCATAGGGCGAAACAGTGAAAATTTTCAAATTTTCTTAGAAACCTATTTTCGCGATTTGGTAAACGCCAAATTGATTTTAGACCCATGGTTTCTTCGGCAAATTGGCTTAGAATTATACGTAGAATACTCCTATGCTTTACGCGCATAGCCAAAAAATCGACCCGCCCTAATGTACACATCTACTAATGTATATAAGCCCATATTTATAAAAATATGCGCACATATCTCGAATAAAAAAAAATTAAATTTACAATACTGTCACTTCAATTTAAAGACGCAACATTTGTGAAATCAATATGATTTCCATCTTTCAAGGGCAGAGATACTATGACTCATATACATACTAGTATGTATGTGTATATCTATCAAGGCCGGTGTATATGTATAGGATTAAAGTTCACCTTAAATTAACGCGGAGTAGTTGGAAAGCTAACTGCTCAAGCGTGGCCACGTGTGCGAGCTTTGTCAATTCAAGCCGTGCGAGGCTAGGGCAACAAAAACAACGTCAATCATTCAAGTAATCTGAACAAGGCAACATTGACTGCAATAGTAAAAATAACAACCATGAAGGCAGGGGGATTCGAAACAAACCAATTGTCATCAAATAAATTGAGATTTCAACCATTTAAGCGACAACCTTGCCTCTGTTGATTCCCCAAAGAGTAAGTAGCCTATGTGCATTGGGGTGGTCCAAAAACAATAAAGATGTTTTTTTATTGGTCGTCCCGTTGCATTTTTCAGGGTTTTTGTGGGTTTTTGGCGGACCTATACATTATAGTTCTTAACAGCGGTCGTCCCTCGGCAGGCAATGGCAAACCTCCGAGTGTATTTCTGCCATGAAAAACTGCTTCTCATAAAAATACAATCGCCGTTCGGAGTAGGCGTAAAACTGTAGGTCCCTCCGCTTTGTGTGACAACATCAAGGCACGCCACAAATCGGAGGAGAAGCTCGGCCAAACACTAACATATGTGTACGCGCCAATCTATTATTATTATTATTATACATTTTAGTTGCAATGAAAAAATGGTTAAATAAACCATTGAGTATTATTACTGGGACTCTCCTGCAGATAAACAAAGCTTTCTAGTAGAAAAATATTGATTTTTAACTATTCTATACCGTTTGTACGAAAAGTTGTTTTTCCCCCATATAAAATACATGGAAAACAAAATAAAAAATAAGGGTATATTTTTTCGTATAGAACAATCCTAGGGGGTGAGAGCATAAAAATTCCAACTTTCATTTTTCACATGCATTTTGGACCACCCTAATGTGCATGCATCCGCACATGTACTATGTATTTACATATGTGTGTGCTAACTTATATATGTACCATTTTCTTGTTGTAATATACTGCAGGGATATCACATGCTGCCGGTGCATTGCTGTTCCAGAGCATTTATCTTGGCAATTTATTGCTAATTTCTCGCTGATAGCACATTTATGGCCATTGTTGGTGTGCTTGTTGTTTTTTTTTTGTTTTCTTTGTTTTGGTTTCTTTTGCAAAAGTATTGCCCTCACTTTGTTACAAATGCGAAATGAATATGTGAAGCATTTTAAAAGGACACTTACCCTTAATATCCTATACGGACTGTCACGCAACAGACAAACTTGTTCAGTTGTTTCCGGTTGCAGTATGGACTCGAGTGGCGTGTCTGCATCCTCAATCTCGGCACGTTTACCCGCCGAGGTGGCGCGTTCGATTATCATGGAAAATATCCAGAACTGTGGCAAATGTGTGATTAAAAGTAAGCAAAGAACGTTCGAAGTAGGCGAGAGAGCGAAAAAAAATATAAAAAAAATTAAATTGGTAAATTGCAGTTTTCAAAATGAATCATATTTATTTTCAATTTCAGTGAACTTTATTAAATTTTCTGTTGACCATTGACCTTACTTACTTTGCTTTGTTGTCTTTTATTTCTATATGACCGGGGGAGTAGTTTAGGTTGCGCTTCGGCTAGTTCGGGCGATATGCCATGCTGGCTGCTGTTGTATAAACCATTCAATAATTTCGGCATGTCGACTTCAGTGAAACGAAAAGGCGACAAGGTAATCGGACTGCTGAAAATCGTAGAAAAATATATAAAATATTTATTATTAGATATGGAATGTATTTAGTATGCTATATGTAGTAGCACTTAAACTATTGCTCATCAAATTAATTAATTCGATTAGTTTCAACATTTCCACCCAATGTGGTCTTTTTTTTTTAATACAAACATACGTATGTATTCATTTAGCCTAACGCGAAAGCAAAACCCCCGCGCCCATTCCATTTACACATTAAGTGATTATAATTTAATTATTGCTATTTATTTTATTGGCATTAATGATACCTAAAGGTGCTACTAGTTGATGTATTGTATTTATAAATTGTTTATATGAGTATATGTATGTATGTTTGTTTTAGATAGACTGGCAAATTACGAAAACAAGTGCAAGCACGCTTATCACCGTATATTGGCGCTGTACGCCTTTTATTTAATATGGATAATTAAATATCTAATACTTAGATAGGCGAACAGTCCGCTAAAGTACCGTGATCGATAATAACATCTCTCAGCAACTTAAATTATGAATTTGGTAACGTTAAATTGCATTTTTGCATTAAGATCCATCAAAATTGAAAGCACTTCGTAAATTTGTGAACATGGCAAAATTCGCTCATCGTTATGTGAATACACTTTGATCTAAAAGGTTTAAGTGCAACCGATATCAAAGCCGACTTGTTCTCTATTCTGGGGAAGTATACTCCTTTGTTTACAACGATTAAATATTGTGAGATCACTACGACAGAAAATGTAAAGAAAATCCACAAAATCATATAGGACGACCTAACCTAACCAACTAAAAGTGGAGATTTACATGGGCGGATCTCGATCCCCCTCTGACCTCCAATTTATCCCTATATATATATAAAAAATAGTACCCTGATAGCTAACTAAGTTTAATTTGAGCTACGCCCTTGGATATATAGCAGATATGGTAGGCATTTAAAGAAGTACTTTGGTCAAAATTGAGCGCAGACACCGATGTACAGTGGTCCAAAACTGCGGATTAGTCTTCATCATTCACTGAAGCCGCTAAGCTTTCAACCAATTTGATGAACCATTTTTACTTAAAGCTTATAAAATTAGCAAGAGCCTAGTTGAGCCCGATTTTTGAATAATGCACTTTTGAAGCGAATATAATGAAAACTTGATGAAAGCTATTGTAGGGTTCCCTCAAATCGAAAAAAAATTATAAGAAAAATTTTAAATGTTTTAAAATGTTTCATTGAACCTACGTGATGCTATACATTGTAGTAAAAGGAAACATAAAAAGGATGCTCCTAAACTTTTCTAGGCAGTTATTTAGGCAAATCAGGCGCTCAAGGCCTCATTTGATAAACAGGAGAAATTATAGAAATACAATATTGAATAAAAGTCTATTCGAAAATAGGCGGATTTGGAATTTGTTTGACGTACTAGAATGTGTAAGTAGTGTGAGAAATTTAGTTTGTCGGTATGAAAGAAAACGCCATAAATTTCAACTAATTTTTAATTCACCCTGTTACTGTCTATTGGAGAATAATTATTATTTTAATTTAGAAATCTTGATTGTGTTGGCATAACAAAAATGAAAATAGTGGAAAAAAGCAAACGATAATTTACAAGGCGTACTTAGCACGGTGCATAGGCAACTGGCTGAGTCAGTGGGATCGTCGGTTCGAATTATTGGTGCTTTTCCACAATAAATTTTCATTAAAAACGGCCTAGAGCTCAATAAAATTTTTTGAAGAACTACGCAATTTAAATTTTTTAAATTTGAATTTGAATTTTATTTTTTACGAAATTCCCATAAGCGGACATCTCTAATAGGTGCAAAAAAAGTAGGTGACCAAAGATATTTTTTGTAAATTTTTTCATCTGTACTCTGTGGAAAAAGTAAAAAATAATATTTCTCAGTCCCATAGAATATGTTCTGATAACTTTTGATTTGGAAATTTTAGCAAAAGTCATTATAAACAAACAAAGAAAATGTGAAAATATTTGATGAAATTAAAAGTACAGGCAGTTAAAAAAAGGGAAATCTAGTGCATGTGCGTCAATATAAAGATGTCAGAAACACCGTTTTTCAAGAAAAAGAAAGTTTACTAGGAAAACAGGTTTTTCATCGAAAAATCATAACTCGGGAAAAACGAATTTTAGTTACTAGGCGTTCAGTTAAAATGGAATTCAAAGTGTCTTGTTAACGATAGAGAAGTTTGAGAAAAAATAAAAATACACTTTTTGAGATATTAAACCTCCAAAAATTTTTGCACTTTTTTATTACTGTTAAACTAAAAATAAATAATAGCTATTGAGCCATTCATTTTAACTATATCTAGTAGACCAAATTATTGAAAAAATTTTAAAGCAAAAATTGTTGAAATCGGTCAATTTTTGGCAACATTTGGAGAAACAAGTTCGCGTGGATGACGGAAAAATCTATTTTTGAGCAAAAAACAAAAATAAAATTACATATAATTGTCAAAAAAAAATTTTCTGAGCCAAAAGAGAAAATACGTGTATAATTATTTTGACCAAGGAGTTTCATAAATAAATTACGTTAAAAAATAATATCATGTTCCGAATAGACCGGTTGATGGAAGGCATCTCAAAATAAAATTTAATGTTCGGCAAAGCTGCATACAAAATATTTCTAAGAAGACTTATTAAAAAGCTCGAAATTTTTACCAAAGTTTTTTAAATGTTGCACAAACAGCGAAATTTAGATTTATAGGGATTTTGTTAAAGAACAAACTATATTTTTATAAGCAAATAATTAAAATAAATCTTGTCGTATATGCTAGTGTCGTAAAATTATATGGTAAGCACTATAGCGAACGCTTCGAATTTATTTAAACTTAAATTTTATAAGCATCAATAATTCAGAGTTTTTCTGTAGTCCGCTATGCTAGCTTGTATTTTTAATATACCATTCAACCATTTTTGTCAATTCCCAATTACGCTTTGAACTTACGTACCCATAGTTAGTTTATTTGATCATAAAAGTACATATTTTAATTGTAATTTTTAGGCTTATAAACCGATTTACGACATCTAAATTTTTAACCTACTTCCACGCCTGTTTCGTTTCCATTGTGTGGTCAACATTTAGCTTCCAAATAATTCAAATAGTCCGCACTTAAATTTTATTCGTTGACTCGGAGTGAAGAACTTTCTTCGCGCGCGACTAAAAACGAATTAGCAGGCTTACGCAAATGACTTGCAGTTATATTCCTTTCAAAAGGACATTTGAACATATCAGAGCGCTCGGAATAAAATTTGGCAGATGACGAAAGCAGCCAGTCAAGTGAGACTTGTTGAATAGATAAATAGAAATGTAAATAAACGGATATGCGATATGGAGAAATTCATATGAGAATGTACATATGTATATACCTACATATGTATGTATGCGGGTGGCTCTAAAAAATATCAGCATATTTTTTCTTTAATTATATTTTGTTCTTCGTAAAAAATTATGACATCAACGAAAATTTCAAACTTTTAAAGAAATTTTTAGGGGTCCACTAACGGGGTTTGAAAAAAATACCATTTTTTATAGTCGCTAAAATTTAACCAAATTTTAACATTTGAGAGAGTAAATCGCGAATCGCTCAATCCGAAGCTTTAGGATTTAGGGTTTAGGATTTTAAAATTTTATGAAGAGTCAAGCGATCAGCTGAGTTGCATGCGTAAACGAAGAAAGAAAGTGTTGTGGGCAAATATATCACGTACATATGTATTTGCATTTGCTCTTACTTAATAAAGTTAGTTTGTTGTTTGGTAGTTCTTTAGTTTCTTGTCCGAATAATAGGGGAACCGACCAATAGTGTGTAGGCGCGATTTATGTATCGTTGCTTTTGATTAGCCACTAATACAAAGTTTGACTCTTCCTTTTAGGATTGACCACAACCATACATAATATTCCATAAGTACATACATATGTATGTACATATGTACAAAGTTATGTATGAATGCATGCACATTAGGGGGTGCTTGAAAATAATATATATGGGGCGTTCCATACCAAAATGGACACTTCATGTGTTTGATTTGATTAAAATTAAGTTAGTTTTAAGGTACTGCAAAATTGCGTTGATTTTTAATACTTTTTATGATGACAACTTTTTGCACTTTTTTTCTTGTGGAAGAAAATGCGTATAACCGTTTTCAAATAAAGTTAAAAAAAAAAATTAAGGCCAGTTTTGCAGTCGCTTAAAACTTGCACTTTATTATACCAAAATTTAATGGGCTACAAAACTGCATACTCAAAAATTAATTAAAAAATGTTTACTCATTTTACTCAACTTTGGTGTGAAAAAAAAATTCATAACTCAAGTTATTGTAGAGTGCACCCCGTAATTCTATTCTTAAATATTGCGCAATACTCAGAGCTTATATTCTGAGTTTTTAATTTTTTTTTGAGATGGCATATTTTCAAAAACTTATTTTTTATCAAAAAATGTTTACGTGAAAAATTATCGAGAAAAAAATTTTGATGTGTGTATGTGTGATTTTTTTCAAATTTTTTCCTCGCCCCGTTCTCGAGATATTTCGTAAGCTGTTAAATCGATTTGTTTTTGTTTTGTGCTGTAAAGTTTTTAAACATGTATCAATCAAGCTGAAATTTCATATTTATTTATTATTTATATTTGTCCATGAACCCTAAAAATTTGAAACACACTCAGTCAATAAAATTTAGGCACAGCGAATTTTTTACAATATGGGCAACTATTTTTTAAATATTTTATTTTAAGCTATTTTTTTTATGGTTAATTCTATAACAAAACCTCCAAAATTTAGAGTTTCAAACCTTGTGCAAAATTAAAGAAAAATCTGCAAAATTTCAGTAAAATAGTGCACCCTTTTATTTACGCTCTCTAGAAAAAAGTTAAGTATGCAGATTTTTAGACCATTCACTCTAAAATAAAAAAAAAGTGCAAGTATGAAGAAGCTAGGACTTACCAAGGATTTTTGGCAAAAATGAACGAACATTATTTTATATGGAGAAAATGAGCGACACCTTGAACA